CAGTCAAGGAATAGCATTTTCATGGTAATTATTTCCAATTTACTACTTTCATTTGTGTCTCCATACTGACACTGTTTTAGAGAGTAGCTTTGACAAGTGTTAATATAATGTTTTTATTATGTCTTTTGGATAGGAGTCCTAGTTAACTCATTTGCTAAAGATGCTCCATACTCTTTACTTTTTTATCTAATCTAAGCTATGTGTTTATATAGGTACTAGAGGCCCGGTGCACGAAATTTGTGCACTTGGGGGGGCATCCCTCAGCCTGGCCTGCGCCCTTTCACAGTCCAGGAGCCCTTGGGGGATGTCCGGCTGACAGCTTAGGCCCACTCCCTGCCTAAACCTGCAGTTGGACATCCTTAGTGCTACCACAGAGGCAGGAGAGGCTACCACCACCGCCCGCAGAGCTCCCTCTGTTGGAGCGCACTGACCACCAGGGGGCAGCTCCTGCATTGAGCATCTGCCCCCTGGTGATAAGTGCACACATCATAGCGACTGGTTGTTCAGTCGATTTACATATTAGCCTTTTATTATATAGGATAAGGTTGCCAAATGTAATAAGGGCTTGAACCATTTTGCTGCCTTTTAAAGCTGTGTCATTTAGTTTTCTGTTTGGCATAAGTTAATAAACTGAGAAACAGTAAACTAAATAAAGTATATAATCGATGCCCTTAACTTGAACTAAGGGCATATACAAAATCCAAATGTAAGAAATGTTTTCATTTTCCCTATTTGAAGAAAATCTGATGATTATGCTGACGTTGCCTGTTCTTTTTACAGGGGAAGTGTTTGAAATTGAAGAGCACATAAGTGAGCGACAGGCCGAAGTGTTAGCCGAGTTTGAGAGAAGGAAGCGAGCCCGGCAAATCAATGTTTCCACAGACGACTCAGAGGTCAAGGCTTGCCTTCGAGCCTTGGGGGAGCCTATCACACTGTTTGGAGAGGGGCCTGCTGAAAGCAGAGAAAGGTGCCCTTTCTAAATACTCTTTTCTCTTTTAATCACAGGGTTCTAGTTCCAAATTTCAGTTGTTATTTATAGCAAAAACTTTAATAGAATGTTTCAGATACTGTTAATATCTTAAGTTGTGTTTAGATAGTTTAACCCATAACCTGAGTCTAAGGCCAATTTTTACTCCACTACTCATTTTTCTTTATAAACTGTGAGGAGGGTGTTGGCATACTCCCTTTTCCTCTCCCCTCCCCTCCCCATTGTAGAGTTTTGAGTTGGATAACCATTTGCAGTAAAACTTTGAAAATTTAGACAACAAATGCATTCCTTGTCAGTGACATAAAATAGCAATTTTCAATTCATCTCACAGCGCACATAAACTAATTACTAAAATTTTGTGGCACACCAAAAAATGTATTTTTTGCCAATCTGACAAAGGAAAAATAGGTATAATTTTGATTCATTCATTCATATCCGATGGCTATTGTTGTGTTGGCTATTGTCATTTTTTTATTTGACAATCTAAGGGAAAAGAGGTCAGTGCCCCTGACTAAAT